GGCCCGTTTTGGTCCTATTTTGAGTCCAGCGGCGGGCACCGTGGGTTAGCGTTTTGCGCCTAAGTCCACGGTGCTTAGTATGACGGCGGGGGAGGAGGAGTTCAGGAGGGATGCGGTTTGACTTTGGGCATGTGCGGGGGTGCTGGGCGGATGTGGGAAGCGCAAAAACCGCGTGTTTGGCACTTATTTGGGCCCGTTTGGCCCTATTTTGAGTCCTTAGGGTTGGAGCTAGGGTTACGGGTACGAGCTAGGGTTAGGTTTATTTCGACCCCTTTGGTCGATTTGGGTGCAGTCTTCGTTGGGACGTGTTGGGGGCTGTGTGCGGGGTGGTGAGCGCAAAAACCGCATGTTTGGCACTTATTTGGGACTAACCCTAACCTAGCCTGCACAAGTTGAGGTAACGGTGAGTGTTAGGGTTACAGCTAGGGTTAGGTCATTTCGGCCCCTTTTGGTGGATTTGGGTGCGGTTTTGGCCTTTGGGCATGTGCGGGGGTGCTGGGCGGGTGTGGCAAGCGCAAAAAACCGCGTGTTTGGCACTTATTTGGGCCCGTTTGGGTCCTATTTTGAGTCCAGCGGCGGGCACCGTGGGTTAGCGTTTTGCGCCTAAGTCCACGGTGCTTAGTATGACGGCGGGGGGAAGGTGTTTCGGGAGGGATGCGGTTTGACTTTGGGCATGTGCGGGGGTGCTGGGCGGATGTGGGAAGCGCAAAAACCGCGTGTTTGGCACTTATTTGGGCCCGTTTTGGCCCTATTTTGAGTCCTTAGGGTTGGAGCTAGGGTTACGGGTACGAGCTAGGGTTAGGTTTATTTCGACCCCTTTGGTCGATTTGGGTGCAGTCTTCGTTGGGACGTGTTGGGGGCTGTGTGCGGGGTGGTGAGCGCAAAAAACCGCATGTTTGGCACTTATTTGGGACTAACCCTAACCCTAGCCTGCACAAGTTGAGGTAACGGTGAGTGTTAGGGTTACAGCTAGGGTTAGGTCATTTCGGCCCCTTTTGGTGGATTTGGGTGCGGTTTTGGCCTTTGGGCATGTGCGGGGGTGCTGGGCGGGTGTGGCAAGCGCAAAAAACCGCGTGTTTGGCACTTATTTGGGCCCGTTTTGGTCCTATTTTGAGTCCAGCGGCGGGCACCGTGGGTTAGCGTTTTGCGCCTAAGTCCACGGTGCTTAGTATGACGGCGGGGGGAAGGAGTTTCGGGAGGGATGCGGTTTGACTTTGGGCATGTGCGGGGGTGCTGGGCGGATGTGGGAAGCGCAAAAACCGCGTGTTTGGCACTTATTTGGGCCCGTTTTGGCCCTATTTTGAGTCCTTAGGGTTGGAGCTAGGGTTACGGGTACGAGCTAGGGTTAGGTTTATTTCGACCCCTTTGGTCGATTTGGGTGCGGTCTTCGTTGGGACGTGTTGGGGGGCTGTGTGCGGGGGTGGTGAGCGCAAAAAACCGCATGTTTGGCACTTATTTGGGACTAACCCTAACCCTAGCCTGCACAAGTTGAGGTAACGGTGAGTGTTAGGGTTACAGCTAGGGTTAGGTCATTTCGGCCCCTTTTGGTGGATTTGGGTGCGGTTTTGGCCTTTGGGCATGTGCGGGGGTGCTGGGCGGGTGTGGCAAGCGCAAAAAACCGCGTGTTTGGCACTTATTTGGGCCCGTTTTGGTCCTATTTTGAGTCCAGCGGCGGGCACCGTGGGTTAGCGTTTTGCGCCTAAGTCCACGGTGCTTAGTATGACGGCGGGGGAAGGAGTTTCGGGAGGGATGCGGTTTGACTTTGGGCATGTGCGGGGTGCTGGGCGGATGTGGGAAGCGCAAAAACCGCGTGTTTGGCACTTATTTGGGCCCGTTTTGGCCCTATTTTGAGTCCTTAGGGTTGGAGCTAGGGTTACGGGTACGAGCTAGGGTTAGGTTTATTTCGACCCCTTTGGTCGATTTGGGTGCGGTCTTCGTTGGGACGTGTTGGGGGCTGTGTGCGGGGGTGGTGAGCGCAAAAAACCGCATGTTTGGCACTTATTTGGGACTAACCCTAACCCTAGCCTGCACAAGTTGAGGTAACGGTGAGTGTTAGGGTTACAGCTAGGGTTAGGTCATTTCGGCCCCTTTTGGTGGATTTGGGTGCGGTTTTGGCCTTTGGGCATGTGCGGGGTGCTGGGCGGGTGTGGCAAGCGCAAAAACCGCGTGTTTGGCACTTATTTGGGCCCGTTTGGTCCTATTTTGAGTCCAGCGGCGGGCACCGTGGGTTAGCGTTTTGCGCCTAAGTCCACGGTGCTTAGTATGACAGCGGGGGAAGGAGTTTCAGGAGGGATGCGGTTTGACTTTGGGCATGTGCGGGGTGCTGGGCGGATGTGGGAAGCGCAAAAACCGCGTGTTTGGCACTTATTTGGGCCCGTTTGGCCCTATTTTGAGTCCTTAGGGTTGGAGCTAGGGTTACGGGTACGAGCTAGGGTTAGGTTTATTTCGACCCCTTTGGTCGATTTGGGTGCGGTCTTCGTTGGGACGTGTTGGGGGGCTGTGTGCGGGGGTGGTGAGCGCAAAAAACCGCATGTTTGGCACTTATTTGGGACTAACCCTAACCCTAGCCTGCACAAGTTGAGGTAACGGTGAGTGTTAGGGTTACAGCTAGGGTTAGGTCATTTCGGCCCCTTTTGGTGGATTTGGGTGCGGTTTTGGCCTTTGGGCATGTGCGGGGTGCTGGGCGGGTGTGGCAAGCGCAAAAACCGCGTGTTTGGCACTTATTTGGGCCCGTTTTGGTCCTATTTTGAGTCCAGCGGCGGGCACCGTGGGTTAGCGTTTTGCGCCTAAGTCCACGGTGCTTAGTAGTATGACGGCGGGGGGAGGAGTTTCAGGAGGGATGCGGTTTGACTTTGGGCATGTGCGGGGGTGCTGGGCGGATGTGGGAAGCGCAAAAACCGCGTGTTTGGCACTTATTTGGGCCCGTTTGGCCCTATTTTGAGTCCTTAGGGTTGGAGCTAGGGTTACGGGTACGAGCTAGGGTTAGGTTTATTTCGACCCCTTTGGTCGATTTGGGTGCAGTCTTCGTTGGGACGTGTTGGGGGCTGTGTGCGGGGGTGGTGAGCGCAAAAACCGCATGTTTGGCACTTATTTGGGACTAACCTAACCCTAGCCTGCACAAGTTGAGGTAACGGTGAGTGTTAGGGTTACAGCTAGGGTTAGGTCATTTCGGCCCCTTTTGGTGGATTTGGGTGCGGTTTTGGCCTTTGGGCATGTGCGGGGTGCTGGGCGGGTGTGGCAAGCGCAAAAACCGCGTGTTTGGCACTTATTTGGGCCCGTTTTGGTCCTATTTTGAGTCCAGCGGCGGGCACCGTGGGTTAGCGTTTTGCGCCTAAGTCCACGGTGCTTAGTATGACGGCGGGGAAGGAGTTTCAGGAGGGATGCGGTTTGACTTTGGGCATGTGCGGGGTGCTGGGCGGATGTGGGAAGCGCAAAAACCGCGTGTTTGGCACTTATTTGGGCCCGTTTGGCCCTATTTTGAGTCCTTAGGGTTGGAGCTAGGGTTACGGGTACGAGCTAGGGTTAGGTTTATTTCGACCCCTTTGGTCGATTTGGGTGCGGTCTTCGTTGGGACGTGTTGGGGGGCTGTGTGCGGGGGTGGTGAGCGCAAAAAACCGCATGTTTGGCACTTATTTGGGACTAACCCTAACCCTAGCCTGCACAAGTTGAGGTAACGGTGAGTGTTAGGGTTACAGCTAGGGTTAGGTCATTTCGGCCCCTTTTGGTGGATTTGGGTGCGGTTTTGGCCTTTGGGCATGTGCGGGGGTGCTGGGCGGGTGTGGCAAGCGCAAAAAACCGCGTGTTTGGCACTTATTTGGGCCCGTTTTGGTCCTATTTTGAGTCCAGCGGCGGGCACCGTGGGTTAGCGTTTTGCGCCTAAGTCCACGGTGCTTAGTATGACGGCGGGGGGAAGGAGTTTCGGGAGGGATGCGGTTTGACTTTGGGCATGTGCGGGGGTGCTGGGCGGATGTGGGAAGCGCAAAAAACCGCGTGTTTGGCACTTATTTGGGCCCGTTTTGGCCCTATTTTGAGTCCTTAGGGTTGGAGCTAGGGTTACGGGTACGAGCTAGGGTTAGGTTTATTTCGACCCCTTTGGTCGATTTGGGTGCGGTCTTCGTTGGGACGTGTTGGGGGGCTGTGTGCGGGGGTGGTGAGCGCAAAAAACCGCATGTTTGGCACTTATTTGGGACTATCCCTAACCCTAGCCTGCACAAGTTGAGGTAACGGTGAGTGTTAGGGTTACAGCTAGGGTTAGGTCATTTCGGCCCCTTTTGGTGGATTTGGGTGCGGTTTTGGCCTTTGGGCATGTGCGGGGGTGCTGGGCGGGTGTGGCAAGCGCAAAAAACCGCGTGTTTGGCACTTATTTGGGCCCGTTTTGGTCCTATTTTGAGTCCAGCGGCGGGCACCGTGGGTTAGCGTTTTGCGCCTAAGTCCACGGTGCTTAGTATGACGGCGGGGGGAAGGAGTTTCGGGAGGGATGCGGTTTGACTTTGGGCATGTGCGGGGGTGCTGGGCGGATGTGGGAAGCGCAAAAAACCGCGTGTTTGGCACTTATTTGGGCCCGTTTTGGCCCTATTTTGAGTCCTTAGGGTTGGAGCTAGGGTTACGGGTACGAGCTAGGGTTAGGTTTATTTCGACCCCTTTGGTCGATTTGGGTGCGGTCTTCGTTGGGACGTGTTGGGGGCTGTGTGCGGGGGTGGTGAGCGCAAAAAACCGCATGTTTGGCACTTATTTGGGACTATCCCTAACCCTAGCCTGCACAAGTTGAGGTAACGGTGAGTGTTAGGGTTACAGCTAGGGTTAGGTCATTTCGGCCCCTTTTGGTGGATTTGGGTGCGGTTTTGGCCTTTGGGCATGTGCGGGGGTGCTGGGCGGGTGTGGCAAGCGCAAAAAACCGCGTGTTTGGCACTTATTTGGGCCCGTTTTGGTCCTATTTTGAGTCCAGCGGCGGGCACCGTGGGTTAGCGTTTTGCGCCTAAGGTGCTATACGGCACCTTTCCCTCTAAGAGGTTTGCCACCGAAAGGCGTGTCGGCGAACTAGTTATCAGGCTAGAGTCTCGTTCGTCATCTGAATTAACCAGACAAATCACTCCACCAACTAAGAACGGCCATGCACCACCACCCACTGAATCAAGAGAGAGCTTTCAATCTGTCAATCCTTCCAGTGTCCTGATCAGGTGAGTTTTCCCGTGTTGAGTCAAATTAAGCCGCAGGCTCCACTCCTGGTGGTGCCCTTCCGTCAATTCCTGGGGACAGAATATGTAACGCCCATGACGACTTCAGATAAAAGGGAGCAGCTACCTGTCACCTGCTTACAACGCTGCACCTTACATACAGGAACAGCATTGTTTAGACAGTCACACATTCATATTCAGTATTTAGGCCACAAGCCCACTGCTCATTTTCGACATGGAGTAAAAATATGTAATTCCCTGTTTGTTTTCCAATAAATTGTTTTATCAACCCCCCCAACCATGATCTCATAACGTTCAGAATTTCTCTACACCTAGTGGTTATAACACTTTAACTAAAGCATACATAGGTTGAAATGAGTGTGTTCTTCATGACATAATGGGGTATCTACAGTGAACATGCCACCCCTGTCTCTGTACATTCACCACCAGTAGTTTACAGTAGCATAACAGTAAACCAACCACCCTGTGATGTGTGAAACTGTTGGTTAGTTTCATATTTTAAAATAGCCATATATTTTATCTTTGATATCATTGAATGCGAAGTAAATGTATTAAACTATTATTCGGAAATTGGAAGGGCTGGGGAGTAGAACTATTGCACATCTAGCGAAGTCAGACCAATCTCATGGCACAGACATACGTAACTAACACGACAGGCAAAAATCGCCCGCAATTTCCCCAACCGAGCTAGAGTTTTTCATATTAAACACTACTGTTTCAATGACATAAAGCGCTTGGATATTTATATTGTACACAGACCAACATTTCACTCGAAATGGCAGTTTGGATACAAGCTGACATATTTCTTTGAAGACAGATACTTTCAAGAAAATTACTGAGACGGTCCCCACAAAAGAGAAAATAGTGCAAAGTTTTGCACAGAATCGCGAATCAAACATCGACAGTTTGGAGAAATAACAGCCGCGGTGAGCTTCAGGATATTGTTCCGTACAATATTTACGATATCAAAATAGCGAAGGACTATTTTAATTTTTTAGGAACTACTTTATATCACCGACGGCCCAGGGATACATCCATATTTTTATCATAAGTGAAAAATAGTATTTTAGAGAAAACAGGAACGGGAGAATTCATTTCACGGGACATTCCAAAAGAGGTTCCTACTTCACATGCCATCTATACTAGTCTGGATTCCTATTATTCTTCGTATATTATATATATTTATGATATTCAAGGACTATTATTGCACTGACAATGTCCGATTGCGTAAAACAATATCCTTTACAAGTGTCATAACTTTTATGGCCGGAGTTGCTCCCTTCCACCCGGCATCGGATTTCGCTAATTGCTCATTATCCTACAGGAGTATTCCTAATTTCTTTGCATTGTTCAGGTAAGTCATATTAAGGATATAGAAGACATTATGTGCAAAAGTAAATCACCTTTGTGGCAACATAAAAAGTCCCATATATTTCTAATGACAATTTTAATTAAGCAAAATAATAATAAGAGAGCTTCGGTTTCCGTTCATGGCTCTGCCCAACCAAATCAAGCATGTTGTTGTCGGCTTGTCACAAACTTTTATTAATAAAGATGACTTCAGTGGCTCCGAACAAAACCTTGCACTCAATAAATGCATAAATAACTTTGTGATTGTTTTTAACCGTCGTTACACCAAATCCTGTAATTTGTTCTCGTTTCGAGTCGCCTTCATCTTGTGATACCTTCATGTAATGTGCACTTATTTACAAGTGACAGCTCACCTGTGGGAGTGGGGGTATTGTGTTCTTGGCACTGACGACTGAGAGGGGAATGAGTGGATGAAGTACTTATTAATAATTCCTAATGAGAATATAATTGTTGCCCATTATACTCAATGGAACCCTTAACAGTAGTATGTAACATTGTGATACAATCCTGATACAGTGTGACATTCTCACTGTCACAGTGTTCTACAGTGTTACACAGTTCATCCTTTCTCACCCTTACACCCTCCTTTGTTAAACATTGTTGAAACATTGTTCATCGTTGGTAAGCCCTCCTGGGCTTTAACTGAGTTATTCCACACTTCATATTGAGACTATCAGAGCTGTTGGGTGTTGTATGTAGGTGTGGTATGACATGTCAAATTGCTAAGCCTGTGAAGATTGAAGCTGACTTTCATTCAAAGCATAGGCAGGACTATACAGGAGCCATTATGCAGTGTTTCAACACTGATATGTGCTTCTTCACACAGGACAACAGAGGCAGATATTTACAATAAACAAGAAGCATGTAATTGAAGTTGTTTGTATAAAATGCTTCCTTTTGAGTATGAACAGACACTAATACAGCCAGGCAAGTTGTCTCTGTGTCTCCCAGCACTGACCCTTACAACTCCCAGGCTTTAGTGGAATAACTAACCTGAGTGGCTAATGTGTGTATACTGACAGAAACATGGCAATGGTTAATACACTGAGGGGGTAAATGTATCTATTTGACAAGTGATATTTTAAGCTTACATGAATAAAAAATATGATTTTACCTGTTTCATTTCATTTAATCAAGTGTAGATTGATGCTCATGATGTTGATCACTGGATTGTCTAGTCCAGGCTCGATTATTTACAGACCACTGCCACATAGCTGGAATATTGCTGGGTGCGGAATAAAACTAGACTAACTCACTCACTCACTCACTCACTCACTCACTCATTTAATCAAGTAGCAGCATAAATTAAGCTGAGATACTGACACATGCACACTGGGTTCGTATTCAATGCCAATGAATAAGTTACACAGCAGCCAAGACACTATTGGGTTCAGTAATATACAGTCTTTCTTCAGTTTAATCATTCTCAACACTTTGTTCAAATCAGTAATCAGTATCCAGTATAGTGACAAGCAATATGGTGCATCTAGTATGCTACAGCTGATAAGCTAAAACTGGTATGCAACAGCAGGTATGCTACAGCTGGTATGCTACAGCAGGTATATTTCAGAATCTGTTTATAGAACCAGGGGATTCCAGAGCAAATCACAACCGCTTTTAGGAATATTCCAGCAATATGACTGTGGGGGACAGCAGAAATAGGCTTCACACAATGTACCCATGTGGGGAATCGAACCCGGGTCTTCGGCGTGACAATTGGACGGTTTAACCACTGGGCTACCCTACCACCCCGGGCCAGCTCTGAGTTAAATTACCCTGGTTTATATAATGACCAACAGAAGGACAAACATCCTCCCTGGCTACAGACCAAGCTATATAGATGTTGAGGATTCCAGTGTTAGTGCAGTGACACAACCAGTGTGGTACAGTGTACCTGGTGTTAGTTCACTCATGTTTCTTCAGACCAGTATTGCATAAGTCTCTCTAGCACTTGAATGTTATCACTTTTACACACTACATGATATTTGCTGAACAAAGTATCTTGCTGATTACATGCAGCTGAATAACTCTATCTGTTGTCTCATTATATACTGAGGGAAACAAATAAGGGAACACCTCTTCATGGCGGTGTTCCTCTATTTATTCTCAGATTTCCTCCTACAGCACTTTTCAAAGTTGGTGATGAAAATGGGAAAATATTGAAGGAATGCCTGAACTTTCCTGGGTTCCTTTATTTCTTTCTCTCAGTATACATGTATAAACAAATATCTCACTCAATTCACACTGGTATTTCACAACTCTTATAGGTCAATGGTAGCAGATATAAACAGGTGAGTGATAGCCGGTATAGTAGGCTGTGTAGACAAACTTTATCAAAAACAACTTCTGTATTTCCTGAAGGGGGTCTGCTTGAGGGTGAAGTGACTTGTTATTTGTTCATGACATTATTATGGTTCCCTTGTTTATGGTTGGTGGTCCTTATCCAGTTCTGAGATCAGAGATTAGAGATGAATGCAGCTGCTTGTTATTCCATATGTTCTTGTAGCTGGTTGTAGTTAGTTCCTGGGCTCAGAGGTCCCCAAAATAGTTTATTCTCTGCCAGCTATTATGATAAGGGTCTTGGCTCCCAGTGAGGGTTCTGGTCAAACCCCCTTTCCAACTGGCTGGTCTGGTTGTGGGGAATTAGCTCAGCAAAGAGTTCAAAGTTCCAAGAAGCCAATTACAATTCTATTACCAAGAACAGAATAACATGGGGTGGCCACAGACAGTGGGTACAACCCTCTGGGCTGAGAAACATCTTGTATCTACGTAGTGGTTATGTATACCTTTTGGAATAGTATGTCTGTGAGATGAGTTGAGTTTGTATTACTTTAAGCTATAGTCTTTCTATAATAATAATAATAATAATAATAATAATCTACTTCTATAGCGCCGAGTTCCAGCTAGGCTGCTCACAGGCGCTTGTGCAGATCAGTCTATTTCATTTCAAATAGATGTGTCTTTAAATGTTTTCGAAAAGTTGGTAGACTTGGGGCGGATTTTAGTGACATAGGGAGGTTGTTCCATAGCATGGGAGCTGCACATTCAAAGCAGCGGTCCCCGTATTTGGTCCTGGATGGTCTGGTGATAAGCAGATCTTTATCTTGTGATCTAAGAGTTCTTGTTGGTCTATGGTTGTTTAGAAGAGATGACAAGTAAGATGGAGCAGTGTTGGTCTTCAGGCACTTGTAGATAATGGTAAGCACCTTGAATTTTATGCGTCTGGCAACGGGTAGCCAATGCAGTTCTCTTAACCTGGGGGTGATGTGGTCTCTTCGAGGACAACGAGTTATTATCCTGGCGGCTGTGTTTTGTATAACCTGGAGTCGATGAACCAGGGAAGCTGTTATCCCAAACAAAATTGAATTGGCATAGTCAAGGCGAGATATGACTGTTGCTTGAGTGAGAGTTTTGGCGGTTTCATCTGAAAGATATCGTCTTAGTTTACCAATCTGATGAAGATGATAGTGAGAAGACTGGCACATTTGGGTGACCTGCTTGTTCATGGTCATTTGGGAGTCAAAAACAACTCCTAGATTCTTCACTTGGGAAGAGGCAGGCACATTCACAGGTCCAATATTGACTGAGAATTCTGTCATACGTTCCTGTAAGTGCTTTGGCCCAGCAATGAATACTTCCGTTTTGTTGTCATTTAGTTTGAGAAAGTTAATTCTCATCCAAGTTCTGATGTCACTGATGCAGCTTTCCAGCTTCGTTATCTTGTCCTGAAGTGATACAATCTATGCTATTACTGATTATGATGAAAACTAATATTCTATATTAATATTTTCCTAATATATGAATCCTAATATATCGCTTACAGTGGTAATAATGAATATTTGTATGAATTATTACTCCATGATTACATAATGTCCTCAAGATTAATATCCCACAGTGGTGCTCCACTGACAGCTCAAACCTTCTATGTATATAGAAATTCCTTTTTTTTAATTTGTACTTAAAACTGGCTTGTGTATATGTATAGACTTGGTGTTATTGATATATGGCTGAAGTATTGCCGAGAGGTTTAACAATTTTCTTTCACTCACTCACTCACTCACTCACTCACTCACTCACTCACTCACTCACTCACTCACTCACTCACTCACTCACTCACTCACTCTCACTCACTCACTCACTCACTCACTCACTCACTCACTCACTCACTCACTCACTCACTCACTCACCTACTCACTCAGTGACACAACTTGGTCAGCTCACATTGATGACCTGGTTACAGTACTTGGGCCCTCGTATGCCACAGTTACCCTGACATACCACAGTTACCCTGGTGTTCCACAGTTACCCTGGTATACCACAGTTACCCTGACATACCACAGTTACCCTGATATACAACAGTTACCCTGTATACCACAGTTACCCTGATATACCACAGTTACCCTGGTATGATTACATAGACAACAGACAGTGCCTTAATGCACTTGAAGTGAAGGTTATAAACATCGGAAAATTATACAAAACTTGTTTTTACAGTAGTTGAGTGTAAACTCAAAATGTTGCTGAACCATTGTGGGTGCCTATATTCATGAGTGTCCGCCCACATCACCTGTTTCTGACCAGTAAGAGTGGTACAAGTACTACAATGATCTGGGTGGCTGTGCTTCACAGGCTTTATCCAATTACATAATGTGAGAGGGAAGGGCCAGCTTCCGTGTTCTTCAGAGGTTACACAGAGGTTGAACAAAAACAGAGATCAGTGATTGTAAGATTTACTCAAAGCATTATTTGTGATGTTTTACTTGTTTGTATAATCAGTTACATATACATAAACATCATACATTAATATTCCTATGTACTTACATGCTGTTACACTTGTTGACCATGAATGTTATTCCACCACATTATTACCATAGTAGAATGTTATTGCTTTATTTACTTACAGGGTTTCCTCCAAAACAAGAACTTTAGTTTTCATTATATTTGCACTCAATTTCAGTATGTTACAGAATTTTTGAAATGATTTTTCAGTCATCAGGAATTTCACCACATGTAACAGTGTCATCAGCATTCAATAATAATAACTCCCCCAAAATTGCAACATTCGCATGGCTCTCATTTACATATTTAATATGTATGCCATTCTACCTAAGGTGATCAACAAGGATGGCGAACACAAGGGGACAAATGTCTTCCCCACACTGACATTTAAAGTAACTTAAGCAATTGCTTCCTAATTGTATCATATTGTTATAAAAAAAATTATACATATTATTCAACATGGTTTTAGCACAGGAGAAAACCTTTCCCTTGATTCCCATTTGTTTCAGTTTAAAGGAGATATATTACACAACTGTTTGTGATATGTTATAAAGGAGATATATTACACAACTGTTTGTGATATTTTATAAAGGAGATATATTACACAACTGTTTGTAATATGTTATAAAGGAAATATATTACACAACTGTTTGTGATATGTTATAAAGGAGATATATTACACAACTGTTTGTAATATGTTATAAAGGAGGAAACTAAGTATACATCCACACACAAAAATGTCACATGTGCTTTCATTGTGTTCTAAAAAGTAACAAACAACTGCCCAAATCAGATAGCCAGCTTGTAAGAATTTTGCCATTTTACTTTGTTTACAGTGCTTATATCTAAATGTTTGATCCACATTTTTCAGTTGGTGAGTCTAAAATGAAACATACAACTTTATGAATGACAGTAACTTCCCTCTGTGGCACTTGTCTCTGTCACACATCACTGATGTCATAGGCCACAGAGGGAAATCGAGTAGAGGCCATGTGCCACAGAGGTACGGGTGACCAGTTTCAATTAACAATATGTGAATGGCTGAAGTTTTTTAGTGCTTAATTAACTAAGTGTTAGCGGGGTATAATTAATTAATTGTTAAATCGCTACTGATGGTAGTGTGGTAATTGTGGCCTCAGAGGGAAGTGCCACAGAGGTACTAAACAACTTCTTGTTTATTGCATAGAGCTGATTACATAAAAAGAGGAATTAATCAAACTATAGACTGTATCAAAGCACCCAATAGGCTCGTTGTAACTACTTAATATATTTTGTCTATTGTTGTATTTGAAGTGGATTTAATGTAATGAATTGTCACAAATGTATTGAGAATCTTCTCTATGCACAGCATCTGTAGACCCTGAAATTGAATCATTCCTGGTTTATATATTTTATATAACTGTAGTAAATGCTGACAACCATATACATGATACACACTGTTTATATATTTATATAACTGTAGTAGATGCTGACAACCATATACATGATACACACTGTTTATATATTTATATAACTGTAGTAGATGCTGACAACCATATACATCATATACACTGTTTATATATTTATATAACTGTAGTAGATGCTGACAACCATATACATCATATACACTGTTTATATATTTATATAACTGTAGTAGATGCTGACAACCATATATATGATATTCACTGTTTATATATTTATATAACTGTAGTAGATGCTGACAACCATATACATGATACACACTGTCTATATATTTATATAACTGTAGTAGATGCTGACAACCATATACATCATATACACTGTCTATATATTTATATAACTGTAGTAGATGCTGACAACCATATACATCATATACACTGTTTATATATTTATATAACTGTTGTAGATGCTGATAACCATATACATGATACACACTGTTTATATATTTATATAACTGTAGTAGATGCTGACAACCATATACATGATATACACTGTTTATATATTTATATAACTGTAGTAGATGCTGACAACCATATACATGATATACACTGTTTATATATTTATATAACTGTAGTAGATGCTGACAACCATATATTTCATATACACTGTTTATATATTTATATAACTGT